CCTCCTCCGGCCGCGCTGCGAGGTTAGCGGCGGAAACCGGACAGGCCAGACGGCGTCAGGGGTCGAGCGGCCCCGCGAGGAAGCAGCGGCGGCTGCAGCTCCGCGCACACAAAAGCCCAGGGCCGGGGCCTGAACCGGGGAAGGCAGACCCGGAGAAGAGCCAACGGTTCCTTACTCGCCACTCTAACGGGTCCTGCCCACTGAGCATGCCCAGCAGCCGCTGCCAGGCCCGCCGAGGAATCTCAACGTGCTCGCTCCGCTCTCCGGGGTTTAGAGGCAGCAGAGGATGGGAGGGGGAGGGCGAGGGGAGCAGGACGCAGCCGCAGGGCAAGCCCCCTCCCCCAGCCAACTTCCTTAAATGAAGAGTACAGAGGGTACGCAGATGCGGCTTTCCACCAGGAAAGTCCAGCTCGTACCCCCATCATACAGAGGAATCCTTAATGCATTCGCACCCCCCTGGCCCCCAGGTTTCACTCCTAGGGACGCAAATCTGTGGCCACGTTGGGAAGTTCATTTGTAGAAGCAGGCACATGGTAATGTGTGCCTGTGGTCCTGCAAATGTTAGTTTTTGCTTCACAGGACCACCCTAACCACCTAATCTTGGCTTCGATACTGTAAACATGTATCTTGTTTCGTGTTACATTTGTTAGGTGCCTTCTTAACTCCCTCACTAAAGTGTGGTATAGCTGGCCTCAGTTATTCTCATCTATAAAATGGGGATAACAATACTCAAGGGATGTCCCTAGGGCTGAGTTCAATGCAGAGCCTTACAGTCGGCATACAACATTGTTTCCAATTCTCCATTTTTTTTTTTTTTTATCAATTCCAGCATTACACCTGAGTGTCAGGAACAAAAAATTCCTTTAAAATTATAGAATAATCACAGCAAAGTAGGATATCTTGGACCTCCCAAGAACTGTTATGAAGTAAACCATTCCAAAACTAGGAAGAGAGTAAGAGAAAGTTGCGTATATTCAATGAAAGATTTGGGGTTTAAAGCCATAAAATTGTTATATCAGAATTTCACACTAAATAGATCCTTCATAG